ACGAACCATAGCACGTCGTGTGGCAAGGCACGCTAACTCGGTGCCACACTGAAGGCCACGCTGGTAATCTGCGTGCCCCGCGATCGGACAGTCCGAAAGTGTTCCTGTGTGCGTGGATGGTCCGGATCCATTTTCTCCTCAGGCGTAATCAGACGGTCATAATTAGACACGATGAACAATATAGATTTATTTCTTCTTTAGACACGATCAACAATCTAGATTTATTTCTTCTTTAAACACGATCAAACAGTCGAGATCAAATCGCAATGAACGGTCTAGATTTATTTTCTCTTTAAACGCAATCGGATGGTCGAGATCAAATGCGATGAACGGTCTAGATTTACACTAGACGGATTAAATATTTCGCATAACACCAATCCCAAACTCTAGTTGCTAGCCTTTCGTTGGAGAAGAAAAACCAGTCACCGGAGAAGGGAGCTAACTGTTGCCCGCTGCCGCATCGGAGCCACCTCTGACTGCCAAAAAAGGTAAAAATTTTCATATCTACTCAGAATTTGATTCTGAGAACCCCCTTAGTCAAATTGGAGGAAAAGAAACGGTGGGTGAGCCGAAAACTGCGAGCAAAATCTGGCGGTGCCATCGCGAGCAAAATTCAAAGCCTCCTTCGATGAGCCCCTTCCCATTTTTCATTTCGTACGATTTTTTCACAGTTCTATTTTTTATAAGTTGATGGAAGAAAAACGCCCAGCCAAGAGGGTGAGCTGGTAGAGCAACAGCACTGAAAAATCCTACTATCGGTAGGTTTCTATTTTTTGACTTTTTTTGGGTCAACCGAGACCCCTTTAACGTGTTTTCTCGCAATGATGGGTATAAAACCGGTTGAAATCGGTTAAAACTAGCCAAAAACGGTTAGACCGAGGCAAACCACCGCCACAGGCGTCAGTGCAGTCGCTGGAGCACAGCGGCACCGCCGTACCAGAATTTTAAAATTGGTCGAAAAAAAATTTTAACATCGATTTTGGGTTTTTTTAAGTATTTTTAGGTATATGAAGCGTGTTTTAATCTCTGTATGAAAAATTCAAGAAACTCGATGATCGCCAGTAGGCGCAGTAGAAAGTTCGATGTTTTAGATACTGATTCGAGTAAGAATTCCTCACATTATTCTCTGTTATGACATTGAAGCTTAATAATTAATAATATGGTATTTTGTGTAATTTAAAAAACTTTGAGAATAATTAGAAGTTACTAATGGAGGTGAAACCGGTTAGTCATTTATTTGTTGTCTTGTGTAACTGAATTTACAGCTTTAAATACATAATGATATTCTGGAATGGTTAAACGATTCAGTTGTGCTTACTTGATATATATATATTGCTTGCCTTGTGTGATTTACGGTTGATTTGTGAAATTAGAAATTAATATGCAAACGAAAAATTGTTTGGTCAAGTGAATTAATGAACGGTAGCCTTGCTGGATATCCCTAGGAGATTGTGGACGGACCGGGTACTTAGGGAACCCTACTGTGAACGTTGTCTCATACCAAACAATGTATCGAGGAATAGTATTTTTGGTGCTCATACCAGATAGAATATGGGGACGGCTTGATTCACCATCATATCGGACGGAGTATTGAATGATGATATTTTTTGCGTTCATACTGGACGGAATATGGGGATGGCCGGTTAGTTGACAATGTTGGATATTGGTTCATGCATAGTGGGACATCCTTATAGGTCCCCAAGGATACTAATAGGCAAATAAAAAGAGAAAGTTACTATTCTTGCTCACTTGAATATGCGATTGGGATGTTATTCGAGTTATTGTCTCTATAGGTCGATTTTGAAAAACTCACAATAGTAAATATATGTAATAAATAGTTTTCTTTATAATAGATGAATTTACTCAAATTAAGAGCTCTATTGATTGTTTTTATGATTTTTACTAACATTCAGTTTCTGTATCGGTGAGTAGTATGATATTCTTAATGGGGTAGTGTAGTTCACTCTTTCATTAACCATTTCAGATTAAAAGGACAAAAATCCAGATCCCGATCAACAAGAGAGTTGTGAATAGTTTACCACCTGGACTCCCTTTTAAAAACTAGTGAAGGTCGTCCTAGAATGCTCAGTATATTGTCTTTTGTTTATTTTTTTTTATTTTCGTTTGTTCTTTTAAAATGGATATTCCTGTAACCCTATTGAACATTCTAAATATTGTGTAAGAAATGTAAACTCTAAATTCTATTATTTTGATTCCGCATTTAATTCATAACTTTATTTTCTGTTAAGTTTCGGGTCTTTACATAACTAGCAAGATGATCAAAGCAATAGCTAAAATTCCATTAATACATCATAGAAAGATTGGGGCACCAAATGAAGGATTTGCACCCGTACTTGGGAGTAGAGATAAGAAATCTACATTTTCCGATCAACAAGAGAATTGTGAATAGTTCACCATTCGGACTTCCTTTTAAAAACTAGTGAAGGTCGTCATAGAATGTTCAGTATATTGTCTTTTGTTTATTTTTTTTATTTTCGTTTGTTCTTTTAAAATAGATATTCTTGTAACCCTATTGAACATTCTAAATATTGTGTAAAGAATGTAAACTCTAAATTCTATTATTTTGATTCTGCATTTAATACATAACTTTATTTTCTGTTAAGTTTCGGGTCTTTACATAACTAGTAAGATGATCAAAACAATAGCTAAAATTCCATTAATACATCATAGAAAGATTGGGGCACCAAATGAAGGATTTGTAGCCGTACTTGGGAGTAGAGATAAGAAATCTACATTTCCAATGCTCTTCTACACAATCAACAGCACATTAAGTTTCCTTTTTAAAAATATAAAATGGAATTGGCATTTTTGTTGGACTATATTCGTGCTTTATCCCTGTACCTAAATATGGCTAACTAACAAGTATAGGGAGCATCACAAAATTATTTTCCTACTATTTTTGTAAAATCCTAGTTTATTTTTAGTTTTTTTATTTATTTTGAAAATTTGAAAGTATTATTATTATTATTATTATTATTATTATGGGATTTAAAGAAAATCGAGTAAAAGGAAAGAAAAAGAGGAAAAAGGAAGAGAAAAGGGATCAGGCCTGTCCTTTATTTTGTTTCTAATCAGCCCAGTTGTAGGACCAAATACTCAAAAGGCCCAGAAAGGAAGGTCCAGCTCGGGCAGAATGACCTGAATGATTAAATGAAAGAGATCTGTGAGGTCGAAATGTATTAATGGAATTTTCTTTTAATCAAACAAAATATATGATTTTTTCTTTTTTTTTTTTTTTTTGAAAAATCATGCTATAATAAAGTAATGAAAAAGAAAAACAAAATAGGAACAGAGGAAGAAGATCCTATGGATCGCAAGAAAGACCGGTTTGTGATTACCTAAACTTCTAATTGAAGAAATGAAGACCATCGTTTTCTGATTTTGTCTTTTTTTTTTTTTTTTAATGTATTTTTCAATCCTTATAATTTATAAATAATTTAATAAATCAATAATAAATATATTGAGCACAACTCACCTAAGAAAATAAAATAAAATAAAATAATAAATAAAAAAAATATCATGGCAAGAAATTAAAAATTAGTAAAAAATTGATTCAGGCACATTATTACTTTGTGTGTTTAATATCTTCTTATTTTCTTCCATCTAAAAACTAAGAATTTTTGAAGTATAAATCATTCTACTTCTGATAAAATCGATGACTACTTAAAACTTTTAAAGTTTAAATAAATTCTTACGGTATTTTTTTTCTTACCTCCACCTCCCATGTTGCGACAACCTTAAATATATAACTACTTTCTTCATGAAAAAACCACCTTAAACATTCAGCATTCACATAACGGAACACAAAATTTTAACCCATCTCACATATCCGACTCCCCTACAAGCTAATTTCTTGACAAAAATCTATATCAACAAATTCTTCATGGGTGCTTTTATCGGGGTATGTCCTCCAGCCTCCAGGACTTTGACTAACTGCGCAGGTCTGGCTAGCATGGAAGTCGGTTGATTGTATGAGGGATATGGTGTGCTCTAGACTAGAAAGAATACAGGATAATCATACACTTGAAATATCTAATGACTTGAGACTATTACATCCAGAACATCTAACTTATATAATATAATGTTTTCAGTTGGTCATTTGAATTCTGAGTCTCATTTCTTACCATTTCCTAGAAACAGTCAGAATGATTATGAACATTTCTTTCACTCAGAATCAGATACCAATCTATTTTATTATCAGTTGTGTCAATTTATAGACCAGTTAGATGAGATTATTTCGGCATTGTCTGTGTGTGTATTGTAAGCTTGTACAAATCAATACAGGAGCCCTCTACCCAAAAACAAAAAGAATCAACTCTTTTATTTTCCAAAATAGGCATCAACAATTAGCAT